CTACAACGCTGCGATGCGGGGTGGGACAGGCGCGCAGTGGCAGCGGGCTCTGTCGCTGCGCAGCGAGATGTGGAAGGCGACGCTGCAGCCAGACGCTATCAACTGCAATGCCGACATCAGCGCGCGTGGGAAGGTTGGGCAGTGGGTGCAGGCCTTGCCGCTCCTCAGCAAGGTGCGAGGGGCAAAATTTGAGCCAGACGTCATCAACTACAGCGCTGGGATCAGCGCGTGTGGCTGAGGCTGGAATTGGCATCGCACACGGCTCTTACACTGAGGGTTGAGGCAAGCACAGCCTGAGGTCCACGCAGGACCCCGCACCCCTCGCCCTCACCACCTTTGAAGGGCCCACCCTTTATTTCATTGACCTAAGCGGCGATCAGCTGCGAGCCCCGAGGAAACTTGCAATTTCTCGCCGCCAGGCAGGCGGGGCGGAAGCGGTGGCCCACCTCCTGCCCCCGTGCAGAAAGTGGGCCACTGCCTTCCCCCCGCCTGCCTGGCGGGGACCGCCCCTTAACCTGGTCACAGCTTTGTCGCACTACAGGTTCACAACATCTGCGGCGGCACAGCACCGACTCACAAACATCAGCGGCGATCAGCTGCGACCCCCGAGGACTACAATCGATACCGTGCTCTTGATCGGCGGTTAGCTGCGACCCTCGAGGGCCCGCGGCGATCAGCTGCGACGCCCGAGGAATCAATGACCATTTCTCCTGTCCCACGGGTGCGGGGCCAGACCGAGGGGGCGGGCGGTGTTCCCCCCGCCCCAGGCGGGCCAGACCCGGCGTTCCCTTCTAGGGCCTGGCGGGTGTCCCCCGCTCTTGGCCCCAGGGCCCGCCAGACGTGCTGTCCGACGTCGGGCGTGGCTCCCCCTCATTGGGCCGCCCGTGTCCCTCGCTGTGCGTGGTTTGTCTCATCGCTCTCAGCGGCGATCAGCGGCGACCCTGGAGGACCACGTGGTGTCTGTTGCCGTTCGGGGAGCTTGGGCGGAAATGCCAGCGGTGGGCTGGGTCTGACTATGCGTGCGAGGGCCCTCGTGTCCACCGCCGTGCAGCTCCCCCCAGGCGCATCGCCCCATGACGTCGGCAAGTGCAGCTCCCCCAGGCGCATCGCTTTATGGCATCGGCACGCCCCCCCGCGCAGGCGCCACGTGCCCCGGGGGGTACAGCCCGTTGTGTTCTCTTGGGGATTCACTTGCTCTGGTATGGTTTCGCCTTCAGGGCAACTCTACCATCAGTGCAGCTCCCTCTACTCTTCCCTGCTGGCGATGCTGTCCACGCCAGCTGGCCCCCCCCCACTCAGAGGCCTGACGCCTTGCCGGCGCGCTCTGCGAGGCTCACAGTCGCTCGGTTCCCCCTTGCGCTGTGGGGTGGTCTGACAGGAGTTGACTTCGTTACGGAGTGGTTCAGCCTTCCGCAGCAGGTACAGCATTCCAGGCTCACCTACAGCTTTCCCCCGTTTCGTTGCACCACGGCTCACGACTGCTCAGCCTTTCTGGCTTGCTCCAGTCGTCCTGGCGTGTGGAGCCTGGCGCCCCGCTGGCGACTCACTCCAATGGCCTCCCACTTGCCTCCACTCAGATTGACGGGCTTGGTTATCCTGGTTCACGTCTCATACTGTGGCAGGCCCCGAATTCCATGGCATTTTGTCTGCCCAGAGGTCCTTATTTTCTGAAAAACTGATTTTTTCCAGTGGTCGTTTTTTTTTCAATTCGTATGCGGTGTGCGGAAACATTTTCAATTTTTTCAATGGAACTGAAAACACTGAAAATTTTCAGTTATATTGTACACATTTGTATATAAAACACGTTAACTATGACAAAATCGTCGTGAACCCTCCCCTGCTCTCGCCTCCCCCGCTAGTGCTGCAGCATCAGGGCGGCGCCAGCGCGACCGCCTGCGCGCGATATGGCCCTCCGCGCTGCCATGCTGCGGAAGCGCAGCATGGAGGAGCTCGGGGGGGGGGAATTCTTGGGGAATTGTCAAGCAATTTTTTGACCCCAAAAATGCCTGCGGGCAATTTTCGGTTAAAAAATTGACCTGAATAAATGCCCGCGGGCAATTTTCGGGCAAAAATTTGACCTGAAAGATGCCCGCGGGCAATTTTCAGACCTGGAAAATGCCCGCGGGCAATTTTCGGGCAAAATTTTGACTTGAAAAATGCCCGCGGGCAATTTTCGGGTAAAATTTTGACTTGAAAAATGCCCGCGGGCAATTTTCGGGTAAAATTTTGACTTGAAAAATGCCCGCGGGCAATTTTCGGGTAAAATTTTGACCTGAAAATGCCCGCGAGCAGTTTTCGGGCAAATTTTTGACCTGGAAAATGCCCGCGGGCAATTTTCAGGCGAAATTTTGACATGAAAAATGCCCGCGGGCAGTTTTCAGGTCAAAAATTTGCCTGAAAAATGCCCGCGGGCAATTTTCAGGCAATTCTCGGGCAATTCTCGGACAATTCTCGGGCAATTTTCGATCAACTGCAGAGAGTTGCTCGAATGTTGCCCGAAAGTTGCCCGAAAATTGTCCGAGGTTTCCTGCTTTGCGTGTCCTTCCCAGGACGGCGCCAGCGGCAGTGGCGCGGCGGCCGCCAGCAGCGGCGCTCCGGCGGCGGCGCAGGCCCGCTTTCAAAATGGGGGAAGGAGCGGAGGAGGAGGAGGACGAGGGGGAGGAGGAGGCCGATGGAGGCGGAAGAGGAGGAAGAGGAGGAAGAGGAGGAGGCCGAGGAGGAGGAAGAGGTGGAGGGGGAGGAGGGGGAAAAGGAAGGAGAAGAGGAGGAGGAGGAGGAGGAGGAGGAAGTGGAGAAAGACGACGAGGAGGAAGAAAAGGCGGAGCAGGATGAGGGTATTAAGACGGTGAGGCGGATCAACAGAGGGAAGGATGAGGTGGAACGGACTCAGAATACGCACGTGAGCTCGCACGCGAACTCACGTGCGCATTCGGGGCTGGGGCCATCGAAACCCGCGCGTATGGTTTATAAACCGCGCACGCGGGTTTCGACGGACCCAACCTCGACAGCGGCTGTTGCGTGCTCCTCGACAGGGGCTTGGCATCGTCGAGCCGCGCGTGCACTGCACGCCGATCGACCTCAGTAGCGACTCCGACGACAAGCCCCTCTCCAAGGTCGCGCGCTGCAGCCAGAGCCTGCCCGACCACGCGCCGACCCAGCACTACAGCCAGGTCGCGATCGCGGACCAGCTCGTGCTGACGGACGCGCAGCAGCACGGTCGACTGGGCTCTGTTCAGGCTCGAAACGGGTTGAACGGTGTGTGTGTGTGTGTGTGTGTGTATGTGCGTGAGTGTGCGTGTGCGCGTGTGTGTGTTCGATAACCGATCGCACGGTGACAATGTCGGGCATCCTCCTCCCCTTGCCCCCCAACCCCTTCGAGATTCTTATCTTCGCTGTCCCGCGATGACGGTTGGATGTCTGGTGCGCAAGATATCCAACCGTCGCCGCGTGTGTTCTCTCCCCCCCCGCCTCTCCAGCAGTCGCCTCGAACGGGTCCAACGTATATACATGTGTTTACATGCGTATATACGTGCATGTATACGCCAACGTACATGCGTAGGTACTTTTATACATACTTACATACATCCATACATACATCCATACATACATGCACACATGCATACATACATACATACATGCATGCATGCATACATACATACATACATACATACAAATATACATACATACATACATACATACATACATACATACATGCATACATACATACATACATGCATACATCCATACGTACAGACAGACAGACAGACAGACAGACAGACAGACAGACAGACATACAATTGACTATGCGCACACACATACATATGTACATATATATATATGTATGCGTGCACCCGACTGTACCCTACCATGGCCCGTCGTTCTCTCGGAACCGCCCGCTTTACCCGTTCCCGCAGGCCCCGCCCGAGTTCGAGAACGCCGCGCTGCCCGAGGCGGCGCCAGCTGCGACAATCGCGCCAGCTGCCATGACGGCAGCAGGGAAGAAACACGATAATGATGATGATGAGGAGGAGGAGGAGTAGGAGGAGGAGGATACGGAATAGGAGGGTGAGGATCTGACGAAGCTGAGGGGGAAGAACAGGAGCACAAAGAGCGGATAGGAGATGAGGGGAGTCGAGGGGAAACTCGAGGATGGGAGGTCCTCGAGGATCCCCTGGAACCCTCTATAGGATGGAAGGGATCCTTGAGGATGGGAGGGGTCCTCGAGGATGGGGGATCCTCGCCCCCCATCCACAAGGATCGGAGGACCCTCGAGGGTGGGAGGTGGGCGGTGGGGGGAAGGAACCGCCTCCTCCCGCACCCGCCCCGCACAAGGCAGTGATGTCCGACGATGAGATGATCCTGCAGGAGATGTTCCTCGCCGACGTGCAGCAGGCCAGTCGGCCTGCCTTTTTGCTCCTGGTTCTGTGTCCTTCTCTTCCCGTACGCCCCTCGTCCCACCTCCTCCCGATTCGCCACTCGTCCAACATCCCCTTCCCGCGTCTGCCCTCCGCCCCCTCCTTCCGGGCATTTCAACAATCCCCCCACCTCGACGTTAACGCCACTCGTTGGTTTATCGTCGGCGTCCACCTCTACGTCATCTTCCTCCTCCGTCTCCTTCTCGTCGGTGTCTTCTCATCATCCGTCTCATCGGGTTCATCCCTATCCTCCACCTCCTCCCCCTCCTCAGTCATCATAATCAGGATCAGCATCATCATCATCATCATCATCATCAACATCATCATCATCATCATCACCATCATCACCATCATCATCACCATCATCATCATCACCATCACCAGCAGCAGCAGCATCTTCCTCCTTCTCCTCCTCCTCTTTCTCCTTACGTCTTCTCCTCCTGATCCTCCTGATCCTCCTCCTCCTCCTCCTCCTCCTCCTCCTCCTCCTCCTCCTCCCCCTCCTCCTCTTTAGTTGTTTACTCACCAGGTTCCGCCGTGCCATCCTCCCCCATCCTCCCTCGTCAGCAGCTGGCTTGGATCAAGATGTCCTCGCCAGGTGCAGAGGCGGCCCCAGGGCCGCTCTGCGCAGCCCTGCTGCCGCACGCCTCGACCCCGAGTTTCTGCACGTACCAGTACGATGGCGGCGTCTGTCGGCAGGGCATCGAGGGCCACGTCAAGCTCATCAGGAGCTTGATTCAGGTGGTGAATCGGACAAACACCGCCGACCCTTCTATGTGTATTCCCCTCCGCCCTCCACGTGGAGGAGGGAGGACTTACGGAAGGGCGGCGGTGGTGAAGGAATTAAAGGAATGAGAGGAACGAATGGAGGAATGGGGGTAACGGAGGAGTGGAGGAATGGAGGAGATCGGAGGAGGAGGAGGGGAGGAATGAGCAATGGACGAATGGAGGAAATGGAGGACGGAGTGGATGAACGGAGGAGTTCGGAGGAGGAGTGGATGAATCAACATGTGCGCAATTGGTGTTCTCACCCTAGGTGAATAGCACCATGTCCTTCAAGAAGGACGCGTGGCTCCAGGCGCTCAAGGAGGTTGCCAAGCACAAGCCACTGGTGTTCAGGAGCAAGGGGGAGATGTCTGCGTGGCAGGCCGAGCTGCACAAGCGCTTGAAGACGATGTGCCGCCACGCGAGCCAGTGCATGATCAAGGACACCCCCCCAAAATGGTTCAAAGCGCTGGCGCTCCCAAAGCCCGTGAAGAACGCAGAGCCTGGCGACGGCGCCGACGGGGGCCAGCACGAGGACGAGTTCGACGAGAA